AATTTCCTCCCTTGAAAAAAGCCTATTTAGGTATTTTGCCCATTTCCTAACCAGATTGTGTGTTTTGTTGTTGTTGAGTTTCTTGAGCTCTATATAGATTCTGGATATTAATCCTTTATTAGCTGCATAGTGTGAAAATATTTTCTCCCATTCTATTGGTTTCTTCTTCACTTTTGCACTACAGAAGCATCTTAGTGTGAAATAATGTGTTCAATTTTGGCTTTGATTGCCTGTCCTTGTTGGGTCTTTTCCAAGAAATCTTGGCCTATTCTCATGTCCTGCAGTGTTTCCTCATTGTTCTCTAGTAATCTGAGGGTATTGGGTTGTAGATTATGGTCTTTGGTTTATTTTGAGTGGATTTTGTGTAAGGTGCAATGTAGGGGTGTTGTTTCATATTTCTTCATGTGTAGACCCAGTTTTCCCAGCATCATTTGTTGAAGAGGTTGTCCTTGCTCCAGGGATTGATTTTAGCTCCTTTATCAAAGATAAGTTGGTTGTAGATGCATGGATTGATTTTTGGAGTTTCTATTATTTCCCATTGGTCTATGTGTCTTTCTTTTTTTTTGCCAGTGTCAGGCTATTTTGATTATAACTGCCCTGTAGTATGTCTTGAAATCAGATATTGTGAGGACTCTGGCTTTGTTTTTGTTGCATAAGGTCACTTTAGCTATTTGGGTTCTCCTGTGTGTCCATATGGATTTCAGCATCATTTTTTCTAGATCTGATAAGTATGCTGTTGGTATTTTGATTGAGATCACATTTGGCTGGTGCCATGGCTTACTAGGCTAATCCTCCGCCTGCTGCATCAACACTCCCGGTTCTAATCCAGGTTGGGGCGCTGGATTCTGTCCTGGTTGCTCCTCTTCCAGTCCAGGTCTTCTGTGGCCCGGGAAGGCAGTGGAGGATGGCCCAAGTGCTTGGGCCCTGCACCCACATGGGAGACCAGGAGGAAGCACCTGGCTCCTGACTTCAGATCAGTACAGCGTGCCAGCCATAGCAGCCATTTGGGGAGTGAACCAATGGAAGGAAGACCTTTCTCTCTGTCTCTCACTAACTCTGCCTGTCAAAAAAAAAAAAAAAGATCACATTCAATCTGTAAATTGCTTCTTGTAGTATGGACATTTTGATGGTATTGATTATTCCAATCCATGAACATGGAAGATTTTTCCATATTCTGTGTCTTCTATTTCTTTTTTTAATGTGTTGTAACTTTCCTCATAGTGATATATGACATCCTTGGTTAAATTTACTCCTAAAGCATTTAGCTTTTTAGGTAGTTATGGGATTCATGCTTTAAGTTTTTTTCTCAATATACCTTGTCTGTATACAAAGGCTATTGATTTTGTGTGTTAATTTTACTTCCTGCCACTTTACCAAATTCTTTTATGAGTTCCAATAATCTCTTAATGGAGTCTTTTGCATACCCTATATATAGAGGGTGTGTATATATATATATATATATATATATATATATATCCCATATATATATATATGGGATAATTCGACATCTTCTTTCCCTTTTTCTTTTCCTTGCTGAAAGGCTCTGGTTAAAACTTCCAGAAGTCAATTGAATAGTAATTGTAAGAACAGGCATCTTTGTCTGGTTCCAGGTCTTAGTGGGATTACTTCCAACTTTTCCCCATTCAAAAGATACTGGCTGTTGGTTTGTCATAAATTACATTGATTGTGTTGAGAAATGTTTCTTCTATACCCAATTTACCTCAGGCTTTTATACTGAAATGATGTTGTATTTTATCAAATGATTTTTCTGCATCTATTGAGATAATTATATGGTTTTTGTTCTTCAGTGTTTTTTGTTTTTCTTTTTGTTTTTGTTTTTGTTTTTTTTATTTCCAAAGTGGAACCATCCCTGCATGCCAGGTATATATCCCACCTGGCCAGATGAATGATCTTTCTGATATGCTGTTGGATTTTATTGTCTAGTAATTGATAATCAGGGTAATTGGTCTATAGTTCTCTTTCTTTGTTGTATCTTCTTCTGGTTTAGTAATTGATGTGATGCTGGCTTTACAGAAGGAATTTGGAGGATTCTCTCTATTTCAATTCTTTTAATAGCTTGAAAAGAATTGGAATTAGTTCTTTAGATGTCTGGTAAAATTTAGGAGTGAAGTTATCTGGTCCTGGGTTTTTCTTTCTTGGGCAGGTTTTTATTACTGATTCATTCTCTGTCTGGATTTTTTTTTTTTTTTTGCTTAGGTTTTCTATGTGTCTTCATGGCTCAATTTTGGCATGCTGAATGTGTCCAGTAATCTTGATTTTCTTTAGGTTTTCCATTTTGTTAGCCATCACATCAGATGTTCACATTTTACATTGCAGTGGTAATCAGAGTTTTGGGTACTCTACTTCTAAACCAGTTTCCTGATAATATCCCGGGGAAGCAGTGAATAATGGCTCAAATTCTTTAGTTTATGACACCTAAAGTGGGAGATCTGTCAACTAAGTGAAAGACTTGAGAGCCTAATCCAGTCACAGCTGTTGCAGACATTTACAGAGTGAACCATCAGATGGAAGGTCTCTTCTCTCCTCTCCTCTCCTCTCCTCTCTCCTCTCTCCTCTCTCCTTTCTCCTCTCTCCTCTCTCCTCTTTCTCTCTATCCATATGTGCCTTTTTCTTATTTACTTATTTATTTGAAAGTCAGAGTTAGAGAGAGGGAGAGACAGAGAGAGATATTCCATCAATGAATTCATTCCAAGATTACTTTAATGGCCAGGGTGTTGCCAGGTTGAAGTCAGGAGCTTCTTCTGGGTCTCCCATGTGGGTGTCAGGAGTCCAAGTGCTTGGGCTATCTTCTATTGCTTTTCTCAGACTATTAACAGGGAGCTGGTCAGAAGTGGAATACCTGGTATTTGAATTGGCACTCATAGAGGTTGGCAGTGTAACAGGTGGCAGTTTTGTCTACTGCACCACAACACCAGTCCCCCTCTCTGCCTTTCAAATTAACAAAAAAAAATTTTTTTTGACAGGCAGAGTGGACAGTGAGAGAGAGACACAAAGAGAAAGGTCTTCCTTTTGCCGTTGGTTTACCCTCCAATGGCCGCCGCCAGTGCGCTGCGGCCAGCGCACCATGCTGATCCAATGGCAGGAGCCAGGTGCTTATCCTGGTCTCCCATGGGGTGCAGGGCCTAAGGACTTGGGCCATCCTCCACTGCACTCCCTGGCCACAGCAGAGAGCTGTCCTGGAAGATGGCAACCAGGAAAGAATCTGGCGCCCCGACCGGGACTAGAACCAGGTGTGCCGGTGCCGTAAGGTGGAGGATTAACCTAGTGAGCCACGGCGCCAGTCCTCAAATTAACAAAATTTTTAAAAAACAAATGAAAAAGCCCTTAAGGTAATAAAAGTCATCATGACTGAGCATTGGGGAATCTTTTCATGTGATCTACTTTTTAAGATTTATTTATATATATTTATTTATATATTTGAAAGGCAGTGTTATATTGTGTGTGGGAGAGAAATTGATCTTCCTTTAGGTTTGCTCACTTCCCACATGGCTGCAATGAATGTGGCTAAGCCAGGCTGATGTCACAAGCCAGGAGCTTCTTTCATGTCTCTTACATGGGTGCAGGGGCCATAGCATTTGGCCCATCCTGTGCTGCTTTCCCAGATGTAGTAGCAGTAAGCTGGATCACCTTGGAGCATTACTGTCTATGATACTCTTCTTGCAGTTCAAGGATGTAGAACCCATCTGGCACAAAGTCTCACTTATGTGTGAGCCAAATATGACAGCTTCCAACTGTTCAAGGGTGAGGGAGGTAAGTCCTGATATATTGTGTTAAAATAGGTTTTAAGCCATAACTCTTGGTTTAAGCTTATGTTAGCAGAGTTTTATGTTGCCAATGATAATTCCATCACCAACTTTTGTCTCTGGAATGCAACCAATGAAGGCATGCAGACCAACAGTACAATGATGTCCAGGTGAACTTAAATGGCTTTTACTGTTTATTAAAAGGGTGACCTGCAGTACCCTGATATCTGGACATAGACAGTAGACATTGGAGGCCATCCCCTCTGCCACATGGAGTATGCCAAGTTTTGGTCCACTATATATATATACACACACACACACACACACACACACACACACATATATATATATGGAAGCTTTTATTTCATAAATACAAATTTCATGATTTCATAGGTACAACTTTTGGAGTATATCAGTTCTTCCCATATCCATCCCTCCACTCCTATCCCACTTCCTACTCCCTCTCCTATCTTATTCTTCATTAAGATTCATTTTTAATTATCTTTATATACAGAAGATCAACTGTATACTGAGTAAAGATTTCAACAATATGCATCCACATAGACATTCAAAGTATAAAGTACTGTTTGAAGACAAGTTTTACCATTAATTCTCATAGTACAACAAATTAAGGACAGAGGTCCTACATGAGGAGCAAGTGCACATGTCTCCTGTTGTTGGTTTAACAATTGACACTTGGGGCCGGAGCTTTGGCACAGTGGGTTAATGCCCTGGCCTGAAGTGCCAGAATCTGATATGGGTGCTGGTTCTAGTCCTGGCTGCTTCCTTTCCAATCCAGCTCTCTGCTATGGCCTGGGAAATCAGTACAAGATGGATCAAGTCCTTGGACCCCTACACCCACGTGGGAGACCTGGAAGAAGCTCCTGGCTTTGGATTGGCACAGCTGTGGTAAATTGGGGAGCGAACCATCGGATGGAAGACCTCTTTCTCTCTGCCTCTCCTTCTTTCTGTGTGTAACTCTGACTTTCAAATAAATAAATAAATGTTTGGGGAAAAAAAGCAATTGACACTCTTATTTATGATGTCAGTGATCACCCAAGTCTCTTGTCATGAGCTTCCAAGGATATGGAAGCCTTTTGAGTCCACAAACTCTGTCATTATTCAGGCAGAGCTGTAAGCAAAGTAGGTGTTTCTCTCTTCCCTTTAGAGGAAGGTACCTCCTCCTTTGATGGCCCCTTCTTTCCATAGGGATCTCACACACAGAGATCTTTCATGTAGGCCATTTTTGCCACAGTGTCTTGGCTTTCTGTGCCTGAAATGCTCTCATGGGCTTTTTGTCATATCTGACTGTCTTTTTTTTTTTTTTTTTTTAGCATCTGTAGAATTTATTCAACATAACCACAGAGGCATTATCTTCATGCTGTCACACACACATACAAGCACAGATACAGCATAATATCCATATTTATCCCAATGCATTCCTTCTGAGGCTTATTTATATGTCTTCATATGCCACAGCCCATCATTTAAATAATGGATATTTTCAATGCCAATTCCTTTGTTGACTTTCTCGATGTCTTCTGCAGACATCTTCATGACTCCAACACACAGAGCATGCTGTTTCCCTTCAGCCATAATTGCAACAATGGTATCTACTGCTGCAGGGTAAAGCTTAGCTCCTGGAGAAGTTAAGCCCGGACACATGATATTTGCTCCACTGAGTACAAATTTGATGGTTCCTTTATCAACTTGCTGGTATGGCAGGATAAAAGGATATTTGTGAAGCAACCTTGGGGTTGGATAAAAAGGCCTTTCTCTTTGTCTAAAAAATAGTAATTCTCCATTTACTGTAAGGATTTCTATATGTTCATGGCATCGAACTATTTTGACAGGATCTTTCTTAGGCATGATTTGATTAAGCCATGGTTCAATACCTGGAAATTGATCTATCAATTGGTTCTTAATACCCTTAATTACTGAGGTTTTCAACTGGATGCAGTTGGACACATTTTCTTTTTCATCAAATTTCTTGAACATGATCCAAGGTGAAGGGGGCGATGATAGGGAAGGGCACGGATTGGGAAAGAAATTGAATTAGCAATGGTCCGGCAGATCCCCCTACACGAGGAAGGCCGGCTCTGACAGTCGGAGCTGGTGTCATTACCCGTGACTGTCTTAAGAGTTGGTTCTAAGGCCAGAGTGCTGTTTAGAGTGTTTGTCATTCTATGAGTCTTTTTAATTCTATCTAATATCATTAGCAAACATTTGGTCTTATCTATGTGATCCCTTTGAAATTTATTCCTTTCTTTATGATCAGTTATGCACTTAAAATGATCATTTTAACTAGTAAGATGGCATTAGTACCTGCCAACTTAATGGTATATCCTATATTAAGGAGGCCTCAGTAGCCATGCTCCAATTTTACTCTTCTAAATCCATGACCAAAGTCCTAGTAGACAACATGGTTTGGATAATCACAGGCTCAAAGTGTATAGGGGACTATATTTCCACTATAGCACAATTAATAGCCATCTAATTTAATTTTACTGGCACATAGCAAGGTTTCAAAAGAGGTAATTTTTTGCGTCACAGCCTTTGAGAACAGCACAGATGCTCCCAAGCATTTAGGAGGCATTTGCCCCCTAGAGTTAAGACAGTGCCTATAGAATTTATTTTGACTGATTTTGGTACCTTTTGTTGGAGGGGGATCATATAAGCTGCAATTATTTATAGCTGACAGATGGGGATAGTTGGAACAATCACATTTTTGTTAATTAAGTCTAATGTCATAAATTTTAATGCATGAAGACATTGAGTTTTGGGTTTTGGTGGGGGGTGCCATCTTATTTTAGTTTGCACCCGTAGATTCTATTTTCTCTAGCCAATTTGTAACTGAAAAATTTATTTATTTTGTTACTCACTGTATTAGATCGTCTCTGATTTCAGTGAGATTTTTTGAGTATATCCGACTCTTGGGAAATTTAGGCAGTATGATAGTTAAAGTGAGATGTGCCAAGTAAATTAGTTATTTTTCTTCTGAAAAATATTTTGTAGCTTTTCAAAATTTGGGTTGAGTACCCTGCTTAACTTTAGTGGGATCCCAAAGTAAGAATGTTCTTTGAGCCACACTACAGGGAACATCTATTAAACTTTGTGAATAACTGCATATAGAACCTGGGAAAGTTGATGTATATCTTATAGTATATAGACATAAGAATCAAGGTCTTTTTTTTTAAATTATATTATTTAAAAAGAAACCTTGGTTATGCAATTGGATCCAATTATGTACTTTTCAGAAATATATATGTGTGTATGTGTGTGTGTGTGTGTGTGTGTATGAACATATGTATACACACTTGGTCTTTGTGATCCTTTTGACACTTAATCCTATCTTTATAATCAGTTATGAACTTAAACGGATCACTTTAACTAGTAAGATGACATTGTTACCTGCTAACTTAATGGGATTTGGAGTCTCATGGAAAATTTTCAGCTTTACACTTAGGGGTAAGTTCAAGGGAACATATGCCAAGCTATATATCTCCTCCATCTCTTATTCCCACTCTTATTTTTAACAGGGATCAATTTTCAATTGGATTTAAACACCTAAGAATAATTATGTGTTAAGTAAAGAGTGCAACCAATGGTATTAAGTAGAAAAAGAAAATACTAAAAAGAGGGGCTGGCACTGTGCCACAGCAGGTGCCCTGGCCTGAAGCACTGGCATCCCATATGGGTACCAGTTCTAGTCCCAGTGCTCCACTTCCAATCTGGCTCTCTCCCATGGCCTGGGAAGGCAGTGGAAGAATGCCAAAGTCCTTGGGCCCCTGCACCCATGTGGGAGACCTGGAGGAAGCTCCTGGCTCCTGGATTCAGATTGGCACAGCTCTGGCCATTGTGGCCATCTGGGGAGTTAACTAGTGGATGGAAGACCTCTCTCTTGGTCTCTACCTCTCTCTGTGACTATGTCTTTCAAGTAAATAAACTAAATTTACTTAAAAAAGTACTAAAAAGAATAAAATAGTAAGCTGTTCCTCGATAGGACAAGGGGTGATCAAGTCATTGCTTCTCATAGTATGTTTCACTTCTACAGGTTTCCTTTTAGGTGCTCAGATGTTTGTCACAAATCATGGACAACATATAGCATTTGTCCCTTTGGGAATGGCTTAGTTCAATACATGTAATGTTTTCCAGATTCCTTTATTTTGTTGCAAATGACTAGATTTTTTTTATTGCTGTGTAGTATTCCATGTGATACATATCCCACAATTTCTTTATCCAATCTTCCATTAATGGGCATTTAGGTTGATTCCATGTCTTAGCTATTGTGAATTGAGCTGCAATAAATATTGAGGTGCAGATAGCTCTTTTATTTGCCAATTTAATTTCACCTGGGTAAATTCTGAGGGATGGGATGGCTGGGTTGTGTGGTTGGGCTATATTGAGATTTCTAAGGAATCTCCAAACTGTCTCACATAATGGGTTTACCAGTTTGCAGTCCCACCAACAGTGGATTAATGTTCCTTTTTCCCCACATCCTCACCAGCATCTGTTGTTTGTTGATTTTTGTATGAAAGCTCTTCTAACTGGGGTGAGGTGAAACCCCACTGTGGTTTTGACTTGCATTACTGACAACTAGTAATCCTGAGCATTTTTTCATGTGTTTGCTGGCTATTTGGATTTCCTCTTGTGAAAAATGTATGTTTAAGTCCTTGGCCTATCTCTAAATGGGTTGTTTGTTTTGTTGTTGTGGAGTTTCTTGATCTCTTTGTAGATTCTGGTTATTAAACCTTTATCAGTTGTAGTATTTGCAAATAATTTCTCCCACTGTCAGTTGCCTCTTCACTTTGCTGATTGTTTCTTTTGCTGTACAGAAACTTCTCAATTTGATGTAATCCCAGTTGTGAATTTTGACTTTGGATGCCTGTGCTTCTGGGGTCTTTTCCAATAAGTCTTTGCCGGTACCTATATCTTGCAGGGCTTCTCCAATGTTCTCTAATAATGTGATGGCATCAGGTCATAGGTTTAGATCTTTAATCAAAGTTGAGTGGATTTTTGTGTAAGGTGTATTGTAGGGGTCTTGCGTTATACTTCTAAATGTGGAAATCCAGTTTTTCCAGCACCATTTGTTGAATATGCTTTCCTTACTCCAGAAATTGTTATTAGCTACTTGATCAAATATGTTAGTTATAGAAGTTTGGATTGAATTCTGGTGTTTCTATTCTGTTCCATTGGTCTAGCCATCTGATTTTGTAGCAATATCAGGCCATTTTGATTATAAGTGCCCTGTGCCCTGTAGTATGTGTTGAAATCCAGTATTGTGATGCCTCTGGCTTTGTTTCATTGTATAAGATTGTGTTAGCTATTTGAGATCTCCTGTGTCTCCATATGAATTTCAGCATCATGTTTTCCAGGTCTGAGAAGAATATCTTTGGTATTTTGATTGGTATCTCATTAAATCTATAAATTATTTTAGAAGAATGGACATTTTGATGATATTGATTCGTCCAATCCATAAAGATGGAAGATTTTTCTATTTTTTTGTGTCTTCTTCTATTTTTCTGTTTAACATTTTGTAATTCTCACAATAGAGATCTTTGACATCCTTGGTTAAGTTTATTCTAAGGTATTTGTTTTTTTTTTTTTTTGTAGCTATTGTGAATGAGATTGATCTTAGAAGTTCTTTCTCAGCTGTGGTATTGTCTATGTATACAAAGGCTGTTGATTTTTCTGTATTGATTTTATCTTCTGCTACTTTACCAAAGTCTTCTCTGAGTTTCCATAGTCTCTTAGTGGAGGTCTTTGGATCCCTTAAAGAAAGAATCATGTCATCTACAAATAGGGGTAGTTTAATTTCTCCCTTCCCAATTTATACCCCTTTGATTTTTTTTCTTGCCTAATGGCTCTGGCTAAGACTTCCAGTACTATATTGAATAGCAGTGGTGAGAGTGGGCATCCTTTTCTGGTTCCAGATCTGAGTGAAAATGCTTCCACCTTTTCCCCAGTAAATATGATGCTAGCTGTGGGTTTGTCATAAATTTCTTTGATTGTGTTGAGGAATGCTCCTTCACAACCTAATTTGCATAGAATTTTCATCATTAAAGGGTGTTGTATTTTATCACATGCTTTCTCTGCATTTATTGAGATAATCATATGGTTTTTGATCAGCAGTTTGTTAATGTGGTGTATCACATTCATTTATGAATGTTGAACCATCCCTGCATACCAGGGGTAAATCCCACTTGTTCTGGGTGGATGATTTTTCTGAGGTGTTGTTGAATTCTATTGACTAAAATTTTGTTGAGGATTTTTGGGTCTATGTTCATCAGGGAAATTGGTCTGTAATTTTCTTCTCCATTGCATCTTTTTCAGATGTAGGAATTAAGGTGATGTTGACTTCGTAGAAAGAATTTAGAAGGATTCCTTTTCTTTCAATTGTTTTGAATAGCTTGAGAAGAATTGGAGTTAGTTCTTCTTTAAATGTCTGGTAGAATTCAGCAGTTAATCCATCTGGTTTTGGGCTTTTCTTTCTTGGAGAATGGGACTGTGAATGGGAGAGGGAGAAGGAGGTAGGGTGGGAGGGTGGGTATAGTTTGAAGAATCACTGTAAGTCCTAGTACTTATCAAATACATGAATAATTAACACTCTTATTTATGGTGTCAATGATCACCTGAGTCTCTAGACATGAGGTGCAAAGGCTATGGAAGCCTTTTGAGTCCACAAACTCCAACAATATTTAGACAGGGCCATAAGCAAAGTGGAAGTTCTCTCCTCTCTTCAGAGAAAAGTACATCCTTCCTTGATGGCCTCTTATTTCCACTGGGATCTCACTCACAGAGATCCTTCATGGAGAACATTTTTTGCCACAATGCCTTGGCTCTCCATGCCTGAATTGCTCTCATGGGCTTTTTAGACAGATCTGAATGCCTTAAGGGCTGATTCCGAGGTCAGAGTGCTATGACACTTGGTCTTATTTATGTGATCCCTTTGACAACCCTATCTATATGATGAATTATACACTTAATATAATCACTATAATACAACATAAGATGGCATTAAAACCATCCAGCTTAATGAGATTGAGTCTCATGGCAAGTTTTTAGGTTAACCCTCTGTGGGAATGTGTGCCAAACCGTACAGCTTGTATCTCTCTTATTTCCACCCTTATTTTTTACTGGGATATATTTTCTATTGAATTACTACACCTATGATTAATTCTATGTTAAGTAAAGAGTACAACCAATG